TTCATACTTTTACCCCCTCCTATTTTTTCCCTTCAAGAGATTATCCTCTATTAGATTCCAGCTCCCTAAAAAGGGAAATGGATGTGTGATCAAAGTCTGCCAATTAAGGGATCATTACCGCTCACTCCTGGACGGCCCTGTTAGGACTTGCCCCCTTGCCTTTGTCAACATCATCTCAGCCCCCAGACCCACACATTCTCCTTCAGCGCCCACCAGGGGGCGACAGAGGCTCCCGGGGCTGTAGCAGGGGGCTGTGTGGTTTCCCACAGAGAAGTGCCACTCATCACAACTGTTTTGTTTAGTTTAGGATTTTTCAAAGGATATCTGCATGTGGGGTGTATCCTGAAGAGCATGGCCTGGATGATGGGAGGACTCCCAAACTGCGCCATTGAAGGACTCTGGGGGTGGACAGGGACCTTCATCAAATCTCTGCACTGTCGCAGTTCAGAGAGCACATGTTTATTCTGTGGGACCCCATGGGGCAGGGCAAAGACAAAGCATATGGGGGTAGACTCAAGAAAAAACTGTCCAGCAAATCTGTCCAAAAGTGAGGCAGGAAGCTTTGGGGGGTAGTGGGCTCTTCGTCACTGAGGGTATCTAAGTAACAGGTGCTATGGATCAGCTTACCAGCTGCCTAGAAGGCCATTGTAGAAGGGAACACAATTAGATGACTTTCAAGGTCACTTACACCTCTGAGATTCTAGAATCTTTGCCTTCTATATGCACAGAAGCCACCTCACTCACTAATTTTTTCATCTATCCATCCATTCATTCATTCAAAAGGGGTGATTCAAGCACAAATGAAGTACAAAGCCAATATTGGGTTCTGAAGATACGGTTGTGAATAAGATGGTACCTTTTCCCTAGAGCAGCCCATCACCAAATTGAGAGACAAGACATTCAAATCATCAGATATAGAGGAGTCCATCCAATAGTAGAAGAAGTGACTGACTAGCTGGGGATGCATCAGGGCGGTGGGAGGGTGAGCAGGGAAGGTTACACAAAACAGAAGATGCTTGAACTGGGTTTTGAAGGATATGTAGGAGTTTAACAGGGAGACTTGGGTGGAAGAGAATTTCAGGCAGAGGGAGCAGCGTGTTTAAAGCCTCAGAAGTTTGAAACACCTAAAATTGTGGCATTTCATTTAGTTTCTTATCATTGGAATATTGATAGAAGGGAAAGAAATGAGGCTTGAGGGGCATGTGGGGTGAAGTCATTAAGGACCTTGTATTAAAAAGCGTGGAATTTATCCTGAAGACACTGGCATGGGGAGTAACTGGTCCTATTCACATTTAGAAAGATCTATCTGATTACAGTGGAGAATGGATTGGAGGGGACAAAATCAAAGCAAGAGAAACCAGTGAGGAGGCTCCTGGGAAGGTATTGCTCCAGGTAAATTCACTATTTGCAAGAATCATGGCTGCACATTAGAATCACCAAGGAGCTTTAAACAAAGCTGATGCCTGTGTCACATCCCCAGAGAGTCTGATTTAATTGGTCTGGGGTAGGGTTGTGACTTTGGGAGATTTTAAGCTTCCCCAGATGATTCTAATGTGAAACCATAATAAAACCTTAAGCTAACTGTAACCTAAGCTTTGGCACATAGTAGAGAGTCGACAGATTTTTTTCCCAAAATATTAGTGTGAAGACATTTGGAGTGCCCTATTCTTGACTTCATAATACTTTCAGGAGGATATGATTGGATGAACAGTTGATTTTTATCACGGAGGATTTCAGGTAGAAAATCTACCCCCAGAATATCAGCTTGAACATCGAGAGGTCCAGTGGTGCCACTGAGACAAGCACACCCCACCCCTGCAGAGAACCAGGAATATACAGGCCTGGCAAGTTGCCTGAAGGAGCTGGAGCCACCTGGCTTGGGGGAGAGGATGAGGCCAGGGGCTGGGATCTCAGTTCTAAGAGTTACATGCAAAAGCAAGAACCATTTGCAGTCTAAAGATGGCCTGTGCTGGTGGCAAGAGGGATGCAGAGAGATGGTCAATTATAATGAGGAGGAAGAAGAGGAGGAGGAGGAAAAAGAGGAAGAGAAAAGGAAAGACAAGCCCTCCACTTGTAAGAGGAGCACTGTCCTATCTCCATAGCACTTGTTTCACACTCAGATTTGGGGCAGAGGTTGGTGCCCAGAACCTAGCACCTGTTTTGCTTCTCCACCACAATGCCAGTCTAAGGATTTCTGACACACAAAGAACAAAATTCTGATCAATTAATAGCTGGGAAGGCACTCTATTACCCCAGTCTCAAACCCTGGGCGAAACTAAGTTGGAAAATATGGCTTAGCCTAGACAAGGACCTCCCACCCCATCTCCATTCCACCAGGAATGGCTAGGTAGCAGGATAGGCATCAGATCTACCTACCCAGCCACTGCATAGATAAAGATCATGGTCATGCTTCTAGAATACAGGTCAGCACACTACAGCCGCAGGCTAAATCCAGCCCAATGCCTGTTTTTGTAAATAAAGTTTTATTGGAACACAGCCATGTCAATTTGTTTGCATTTTGTCTGTGACTGCTACCACTCCACAACAGTATGAGTAGTTGCAACAGAGACTATATGGCCTACAAAGCCCAAACTACTATCTGGCCCTTTGCAGAAAAAGTTTGCCAACCCCTGCCCTAGAAGAAGAGCCCCCCCCGGGTTGGCTTAACACTTGGGAGACTGGAATCAAGAAAGGGAGCATTATGCATGGACTGGGCTTTTAATAGACAGTGGTCCTGCCTGCTTGTAAAACATAGCCTGCTGAATGGCTGAATTTCTGACTACTCAGGTTACAGACTCCTCTTTGCTTAGGATGGACCTGGTAAGAAATAGGTGGGCAAAGGCAAGGCTGGTGTATTAAGATGAGTGGAAGCTCCTCTCTCCTGCACTGCTGACAGGGAGCTGTGTAGACTGAAGATGTTGCAAATTCAGTCTCAGAAGCAATGCAGGAGCCATGAATGGAGCATTCAGCCTGTTCTACCGGAGGCAGGGTGGGGATGGTAATCAAAACATGGCCCAACCTTCATGCTTCTGTGGCTTTTCTAAAGCTGTTCCTGCTCCCTTAAATGCCCATCTTCCTTCTCTATGAGATAACTAACTGCACCCTCCCCTGTGTTGCCATGACACTTGGCTCGTAACTCTGTTAAATCACTCCACATGGTTAACTTCTCTGTCTCCTCTTAAACTGATGACTTCCATCTCTTCTCTCCCCAAACCCTGACTTTGAACCTCTATGTCCAACTTCCTACTCAGCATCTCAGCTTGGATGTCAAGTAGTCATCTCAAATATGACGGCTGCTGCTGCTGCTATTGTTCTTATTGTTTTGAACATGTTAAGAAGCACACAGTCCTCAGCAAGTGCAAGGCACTATTCTAAGCACTTCGTGTACCCAAAACACAACACTTAAGTCCTTACTCCCCAATCCTGTTTCTCCCTCATCGTTTCTTCTCAGAAATCTTAGTAAATGATGTGACTCTCCACTCAGTTCTTCAAGCCACAGTCTGGGCGTCAGCCTTCATCCCTGTCCTTCCTTCATAGTCTACGTCTACAGCAGATGTGTTGGTACCCTACCCATGTCCCCTCTACACTCACTGTTCCCATGCATGCTCACCCAGTGCCTGCCTCCTGGAAGCACCTGTGACTTTTTGCCTGGAGGACTTCCTCCAAAAAGAATATGCGCACCTTGCCTACAGAGCATGGTAGAAGTGCCAGGGGGGTTCCTAAGAGTTGTCCTCAACCAATGATAGATGAGAATTGATGGGTAAATACCTCAACTCCCTTCTCCCCCTGGTGAGACTACTCTGAGGCATGAGATGGGTCCATTGGATTAAGCCCCAGGTGTACACAGTGGTAATTTGCTTGTTGATGTACCCTATATTGACTTCCTTCCCTGAATTGTCTCACTTCCCCACTGCCCCACCCATGCTCCTTAGGATTGCCTCCAAAATAAAATCTTATACTGGAGTCCTTGTTTCTGAATCTGCTTCTGGGGGAAACCAAAATCGACAATATTCAACTGACCATCCTAAAAATAATCACTTCTCGCTACATCCACTGCCACCATCCTGGTACAAAGGTGCGAGGTACCATCATCTCTCGCCTGGAGTATTACAACAGCTTCCTAACTGATCTCCCTGCTTCCTCTCTGGGCCTCCTAGAGCCTGTATTCTATACATGAGCCAGAATGTACTTTGTAAAACATAAATCAGACCAGCTAACTGCTCTGCTCAAAATCCTCCGATCGTTTCCCATCACACTTAGCACAATACCCAACTTGTTACCAATGACCACAATGCCTTAGTATAACCTGAACTCTCCCAGACTCTCCAGATGCTTCCATCACTGCTCTCCCCTGCTTCATCCTTGAATATGGTCATTTGGTTACCACCTTTGCACCTGCTGTTCCCTCTGCCTGGAAAGTGCTTGCTACTTTCCTTGGCATGACTGGCTTTTTCACATCTTTAGGGAATTAGCTCAAATGTTACCTTCTCAGAGAAGCTCTCCCAGACTGTGTAATCTGAAACAATTCTTATCTCCCCTTACTATCCCTTTACACTGCTTTATTTTCTTCATAACATTTTCCACTATCTAAAATTATGTATGTTTGCTTGTTCATTTGCTACATCTCCCAGTTGACTGGAAGCTCAAGGGGGACTTTGTCTAGTTCGTTGTATCCCGAGTACCTATAACAGTGACAAACACTTATTAGAGACTCAATAAAGTGAATGAATGGATGAATGAATGAACAAATGACTCCCTTACTGGACCAGATTTGGGCTCATGACACACAGAAGACATCAATAGCATTTGATTCAATGAACAAGTGAGTAAGTCCGTGGAGGGGCTGAGTCTACATTCTCTCCAGGTCCCATCCAAGAACACACAGCCCTTTATAACTAAGTTACTCATCACAGTGGGTCTCACTTTCCCCGTTGGCTCACCTACACCTGGATAAAGCTCCTGTTTCAGACCATTCTAACCATTCTGTCCTTTCTTTTTAGGCCTTACCGGAGGGGCAGACAGCTTCGTGGGACACAGCCAAAGAGGATGAAAACCGCAATAAGAATCGATACGGGAACATCATATCCTGTAAGTGCCCTTCTGGGAGGGCCCCAGGCTTTGGGGACATAGAGTAAAAGAAGCTATTGCCATTACCCAGAATTCATTATCAAGTAATCCTTGATGTTTCTAGCTTTGGGTCTACATGCCAAGCTGGGATCTCTATTTCAGCCTCCCTCTCACACCTAGCCTGAATGACAGAGCCTGGCTCATCTCAACCAGGGCAGGTGGGGAGCTGGGTCCAGGCAGAGTAGATCCACGGAGCCTCTGAAGGCTGGGTCTTGCTTGGCATTGCCCGCTCAAGAATTCCTCAGGTCGGGGAGGAAGCCCAACCAAAAGTATTCTCCTGTGTTCCCAGCAGTGTCTGTAATTCAGAGTACCACCCTAGCAGCGACTTGGGTGGGGAACAAGATCCAGCCCATGAGGAATGGGCTGAGAACACCTAGCAAGAGAATAGTGCTACTCTAAGAAGGTAGGATCCCAAGCAAGGTTTGATGCTCAGAAGGAGCCAGAAACTCTGGCTTAAGCCTGAGGGTTTGGGGAGCAGGCAACTCAGGGCTCAAAGGAACCCAAGGCTACTCTGGTCACACAAGAGACAGGGCTTAGGGCATCATGACTTCTGTCGGACCCCACTGCTGGTGGGACAGGGGCTCTAAGAGTGCCTGCCACTCAGGGCCTGCATCGGCCCAGGAATTTGGTGGCACTGAGCCTGCAGGAGGGAAGCATGTTCTTGTGCAGAGCTGGAGGATACATGGAAGGACGCTGCCTTTTGCTAAACAATGAGCTTTAGCATTCCCGTAGGCAGCCCCGGTGTGTGATTTGATGAAGGCAGTAGTGCCGAGTAGTTAGAACCCTCTGGAGTCAAACTGCCTGGGCTCTTATCCCAGCCGTGGGGCCCTCAGCAGGTTATTTGACCTCTCTAAGCTTCAGTTCCCTCACCTTTAAAATGATGAAAATAATAGAGTCGCTGGAAAAAGGTACATAAAACCCTTGGCATAGTGCCCAGCACCATTACTCTTAGCCATAGAGTTATTTTCTCGGCGTCACTGATGAGCAGTGTGGATATATCATTCCACCTTATTTTAACCAGGATTCCATGTGTGGACATGGAATACTCCAGGTTGGGGAGGGGCTATTTTGGAAAGATCACTAGGGTAGCTGATTGGGAGGGTGGGTTAGATTGGGAGAGGCTGGAGGCAGAGGGACCAGTCAGGGGACTACTGCAGTGGCCCCAGCAAGGGATAATGAGGCCTGAACAAAGCAATAACAATACTTTTGTGTGACTGGTACATAGTATTGAGTTCTCAAAGGAGAGGGAGAGAGACTGCCATAGAACTGAACACCACACATAGGTTACACACAAGTATTGTCACTACCAAATATTGGTATGTACAGCCTTCAAACATAATAGAGAGGTTAGAGTTACCCCATGCAAAATGCTGCACATTTATTGTGATCAGAACAGGAGTCTACAGCAGGTTTTGTCTGCCACAGTGTAGCCAACTTGGACCTTTTGACACCTCACCAGTTGGGTGCGTGGCATTCCTTGGTCTCAGCTCTCAGGGTAACCCAGTTCAGCGGGAAAAAAAAAAAACCTGAATAACAAATTATTTTTAGCACAGTTCAGTGTTTTGTTTTGTTTTGTTTTAACTGTCTAGACATTGCCTAAGAAAAAGCTTTGAGGAAGAAAGCATAAGCTACAGGCAGCTTGTAAAGGAAGACAGAGGCAGAAGTTTTAGCTTAGCTGTTTCCTGTGCTGATTTAGGAAGGGGCTATGAATGGTAGAACTAATTAGAAAACATTTATAATTTGTCTCTCGGAAGATAATAATGCAGACAGCAAGATTTCTTGCAAGGAAAGTGTTGGAAAGAGATGTTCAAACCATCAGGAAATGTGTATTAAGACCTATGACTTAATAGGTGGGGCTCCTCTGAGCCAGGCCCTGAGCTGGACACTGGGACCCTCAGTCTCTGCTCCCAGGGAGCTCCCATTCTGGGCACAGGTGGCTGCTCGCTCTGAGTATCCTCTGCTCCAGCACTGTGCATACTGTGCCCTAAAACATCTGGTTACTTGTCTGTTCCCCATATCAGATTGTGAGTTCAGGTAGGGTCCACTGAATTATAGGCTGCAACACCCTGGGGATCACTCTAAACTTTAGTCTTCTCTCTGTCAAATGGGTATAACGGTGTCTTCCTCCTGGGGTGTTGTGCAGACAAGAAAAACTAAATGATGAGAGCACAGTGGAGAGACCCTGCCTCCCTGAGAGATAGGGCTATCCGGGCTGGTATCTGGGCCAAAGCTTATGGGGGCCGAAGCTGAGAACCAAGCTGTGTATCTCTCTGGACCTCCCACTGCTCACCCCCTGCACTCAGCACCCTCGCCTGAGCCACCATCAGCTCTCACCTGCGCTCTGCCCAGCCTTCTTCGTGGTTGCTCCACATCTTATTTTGCTCCCAACTTTCTGCCTGTCTGATCTCTGACAGAAGCCAGAGGGACCTCCTCAAAACATGAATTGGATCGTGTCATTTGCCTACTGAAAACCCTTCAAGTGGCTTCCCTGCACTCTTGAGCACTCCTTATCCAAAGGCCCTCAGCTGCCTCTCCAGTCTCATTTCAGTGTCCTCTCCATCACAGTCCCCTCAATGAAGCCACGCTGGCCTTCACTCAGTCCCTTGAGCTTTCCGTGCTCATCCATGCCAGAAGGACTTTACACACTCTATTCTCTCTATCAAAGTGCCCTTCCCTCCTCTCTTTGTTCTGCTAAGTTCTACTTATCCTTCAGATCTTAGCTCAGTCGTCACTTTCTCAGAGAATCCTTCTGACCCTTTGAATTTGGTCAAAACTCCATTCTTCGCTCCTAGAGTACAAAGCGTGTCTCCTCCTTAGCCCTCATTATCATTGTGATTGAGAGGCATTCGGATGACTGTGTGTTGATGCCTGACTCCCTCACTAGAATAGATGCTCTGTGACAGCAGGACCACGGCTATCTTGCACTCATGTTTCCCCAAACCTAGCGCAGACTCAGCAAGACCCTGAAGGGCTTGAGCAGTGGGTCTTTCCCGTCTGGCTTCCCAAATAAAATAGAGAACACCCAGAAAGGATGGATGAAGGAGGCTGGATCAAAACAACACTTGGAACAGTGACATTCCAGTAAGGAAGAAGATGCTGAGCCTGATGAAGAGAGTGGGGAGAGACGGGACCCAGAGGGAAAGGAAGAGAACAACCCCATCCCTCTGAGAGCTGCATCTGAGAAGGCAGGATTCCAGGCAGCAAAGAAAAACAATGAAGGGGATTAGGACTCCATCAGTGGGGGTGCAGAAGACGCTGTCAGTGTCCCACACCTCACCGCCTCACTATGCAGTAACACCAGCTGGCGGTACCCATATCCAGGACCAGGATGAGGGGGAGGCAGGCGAGACACCTTGCATGCAACATTCAAGGAGGCCCCACTCACAGCTTTTTACCCTGCACTTGTGTTTGCGCTACCCTGAAAGCCAGCACCTCTTTAAAGTGTGGCCCTCAGCGCCTGGCTTGTTCCACCCCAGTCCTGCACTGTCTGCATCTCTTTGCCTGAGGACTTTCTCCAAAGCTGGGTAAGGATGCCTTGTTCATGCACAAGGCAGTATCTCCTTGGACCATGAAATAGCCCAGCTCCTCACCCTCCCACTGGGTATGTGTTCTAAACCTTTTTCCATAGTTTCCACAGGGAGTAGGCTGCAGTGCCCACAGTCTTAATGGGCTTGAAAACTCACCGTTTCCAGGCTGCCTTCTCTTGGCTGTCTTACTCCTCCTGTTTCCTACTGGTGTCCCCCTCTCCATATAAACTTGCACTGGGACCCTCCTCTTACATCCACTTCTGGGGAAACCCAAATGGAGACCAAGGGAATTCAAACACCTCATGATACCACCTTGAGGGGCTTCAATAAACCTGAATCTCCTTTCTGCTTTAAGGGTCAATAACTCTTCAACAAATGGGGCTGGAGCAGGTCTGTACTCAGTACTGAAAGGAGGTGGTGCCGAGGCAACCAGTGGACTCAAAAGCAGCACAGACATAAAGGGGAATCAAAAAAAAAAAAAAAAAAGTCCTGGAATGGAAATAAGAAAGGTAAAAGAGAAACAGCACCAAGGAATGGAAGGTGTTCCTGCCCTTGTATGTGTCCCTCCCAAAGGCAAAGTCTGCCGTGCCTTGATAAATAGAAATATTCTTGGCACAAGAAGAAAACCGGGTGTGATTAGCATCTTAAGGAACCCAGAGCACTGAGAGGCTGGAGTGGGGGACAAAGGCCTAGGCCAGGGAGAACAGAAGAGATGAAAGGGGATGAGAAGGAGGGAGGGCACCACCTGCAAAGGAAACAATGACAGAGAGACCTTGGCTAAATAAGCCCTTTCTTCCAGATGGTTCTGTTTAGAGTTTAGTAATAGAGACTGTGGGTTTCCAGGGAGTGCAAATGGAAAAGAAGTGAAAGGGAAGGAAATGAATGGGGGAAAATGAATAAGGAGTTCTTTGCTTTCAAGTAACTCTGGGGCAGAGACCGTGGACATGGGAGATTTCAAGAATACCACAGCATTCCCCATGTGGAAGTTCTAGAAGGTGCTTCCTGGATTGGCAGGAAGGAAATGACACTGAGGAGAGGAAGTGAACTTGGGGGCTGCAAATTTTATAAAATGAGGCTCCCTTTCTGGGATCAGTCGGGGTCTCAGCAGGAAACAGATGGGCCCCTCAAATAGGGTGATTTGAGGAGAATTTATTGAAGAGATTATTTATAAAGGTGGGAGCTAGGTGTAGACGGACTACAAGGAATAGTGCAGAACCCTGGGGCTAAATACCACCGCCACCCACAGAGGATTCAGTGGGACAGGTTGTCAGGATGGGGAGAGAGTTGACCTGACAGGGGGTGCAACCTTCACTGGCACTGCAGCCAACCCGTGATGACCTCAACAAGGGAGCTGAAGGAATGAGTACCTCCCTTCATCCAGTCTCCTGCCTCTGCTCTCCATTGGCTAAACCCAACCAGAAGCCCGAGGACACG